GAGGAGAAGCAAAAGTTAATAGATCCAGACAAAACTAACAAACACAAAGGCATCTTTGGCATGAAGTAATGGCACAAATAAGTTTGCTAACAACAGCAAGTTAAAAAGATCTTGTGATATGATATACCATGACAACAACAACGAGAAAAATCCAGGTCATCCTGATTCAGGGAAACACATCCTCTTTATAGTCCACACAGATGAAATGACAGCGAGAACATTACATTTCTGAGCTTCACATATCAAAAATCATAGACAAGTAATTGCTAAATATAAGAATAACTCGGGAAATAGTAATGGGTAAAATGCCTGAATTTAGAGGAAGGAGGAAACACAGACACCTCAAACTATCTTAGAATGATAAAAGGAAAAGTGACAGGTGTGATTTGAAGCAAAAGTCTAGAAATATTTGAAGACCATAAATGAAAAATTTAAAGCATTAGTTAGCACACTAGGTGGCCGGAATGGGGAATAAAAAAAGGGCTATTGAGATGGCCAGGGGGCTGGAGCACATGGCATAAGATGAGAGGCTGGGGAAGCTGCGTTTATTCAGCTGGAAGAAGAGGAATCTGTGGTGAGCTCCAACTGCTGCCCTGCTGGGCGTCATACAGAAGATGGAGACAGGCTTTTCTCAGACTCTTCTCTGAGATGTAGAGTGAAAGGACAAGAGGAAAGGGATGCAAACTGCAGCAAGGTGTTTTTTTTCAAGCAGGTAAAAGGAAACTTTTTGAGGATGAGGGCTGTCAAACATTTCAGCAGGTTGCACAGAAAAGTTGTGGAGCCACAATTATCTTGGAGATGTTCAAAACCCAACTGGACACAGCCATGAGCAGCACCTTCTAAAGTTCCCTGCTCTGAGCAAGGTGTTGGGGCACCTGACCTCAAGACCAACCTAAAGCTCCCCTCCCAATCTAAATTACACTATAATTCTGTGATTCTGTTGCTTGAAGAGGAAAATTTCAGTTAAATATCTGGGAAGACCTCAAAACAATTAGATGTTAGTCTTGACATACCCTGGAGAAAGTTTACAGAAAAGTAATGAAAATATTACTATTCAAATCAATTTCTTTGAAGACTAACTCCTTCCCAAAGAAGCTGAGCCCAAGTCACAGTGTTTGCAATATGAGGATTATATCATACGTAAACCACATTGGTGATGAAATTTGGAGAAAATTAATGATTGTTATACTCAAATTTTAATGCGACACTTGAAAGCACCACCTTCTTGCCAGAAGCAACAAACAGAGCAAAATTTCTCCCCTAGATTTCTCATCAGCAAGCTGCTGAGAACCAGTATATGTTGAACATTTCTGTCAGTGTTTTTTTTTTTGAAAGTGCTATCTACTAAAATTCATACAAGGATGTTTTCCTTGCAAATTCTCCTGTCTTGCAGTGTAAGGGCTAGATATACAACACAGTAAGTCAACAGAAAGGCTCCCAGTTACTCTGGTGAACTTTTTTTTCAGGCTTTAAAGTAGACCGTCATCTCAAATACGCCCAGCCTGTGTGTATGTAGCCAGCCATGGAGCGAGTCTAGCTAGAAACACAGATACAACGTACAGCTTTCCAGCTCCAGAGAACACGTCTGAGAGTCCAGGGGGAAGCGGCTGAAGTCCATGTTACACATTGCTGTCACTGTGATCCTAGAAGTTGAAAATGAGAAAGGTTGGTTTCTATGAGGAGCAATGAAGGGAGAATGTTAACACAGATAAATTATCTTGCACCTTTATAGGCAGTAATTATGCATAATGCCAGCATAAAATCCCCAGGAAAATGCCTATCAATTCTCCAAGACCAAGTGAGATGGATTACACACAGACACTCCAAAGGAAGCTCTAATTTCAATATCGATCAGGGAGCTAAATTTCCATCTTGGACATTACAGTAATACTAATGTCAGTATGAATACTTTCACCATGTTTTCATAGATTTCATAGATTTCTAGGTTGGAAAAGACCTTAGAGATCATCGAGTCCAACCGTCCCTAATCCCCATTAAACCATATCCCTAAGTAGATCATCCACCCTATTCTTAAACACATCCA